GCAAGAACCAGGGAAGGTTCTAGCAAAGGGAAAAAAAAAGAAAAACGAAAAAAAAAACTACGTTATGCAGAAAAATAAACTGAACAACTTTTGCCTCAGGGTCACATCGAAATTCGTTACCAAATTTAAACAAAAATAAAGTTAATTTTTTTGTGTCCGGCCGAGCAAGTGCCCCCGGACCACTCTGGTAGCCTAGTTTATTTTAATATAAAAACATGTATTAAATTCTTAATAACCGCATCGTGATGATGTTAGAATTTGGGGAAAAAAATTGCCTGAGGAAAAAACGAGGAAGAGGGGGGGGGCGGTACCCGAACAATAAAAAAGATATATAATTAATAAAAAGACACTTACCATTCCGTTTGTGCGGTAGAAGTGCAGCTACATCGCCTTCATAGACTATGCTTCGCGAGCGATCCAGGTCATCGTCCAGCTGCCAAGTCATCATCGAACCGCCAGCCACGTCACGTAACCACCCTTCATTCCAAATTTTTCAAAATCTCTTACAGAAAAAAAGTTCCCCAAAAACGAATTCCAAAAAGAATCCGAAGAAAAATATCCAAAAAAAAAAACTCTTTAGGCGCAAAAAAATAATCCGAACCGTCAGCCACGTCACCGAACCACCCTCTCCAGTCCAAAATTTCCAAAATCTTTTGCCAAAAAAAAGTCCATTAAAACAAAATACCAAAAAAATCCCAAAAACTAGGCTACCAGCCGGGCCCTGTTTTTCCGGGCGGCCCTGCCGTGCAAGGACCAGGGAAGGTCCCAGCAAAAAAAAAAGAAAACAAAAAAAAATCTAAACAATCCGGAAAAAAAACTAATGTTATGCAGAAAAATAAACTGAACAACTTTTGCCTCAGGATCACATCGAAATTCATTACCAAATTGAAAATAAATAATAAATTGAAAGATTTTTTCCATTTTTCTTTTTTTTTTTGGCCCGGCCAGGCAAGTGGTCCCGGGCCACTCTGGTAGCTAGCCCAAAAACAAATTCCAAAAAAAAAAACAAAAACCCTCTTTAGACGGGAAAACAATAATCCGAACCCCCAGTCATGTCATCGAGCCACCAGCCACGTCACTGCACCACCCTCCATTCCAAAAATTTTCAAAATCCCCCCCCCCCCCAAAATCCAAACAAAAACCCCAAGGAAAAATTCAAACTCTATTTATGGGGAAACAAAATCGACCCGCCAGTCACTTCATCGAACCGCCCTCCATTCCTTTTTTTTTTTAAGAAATATTCATTTTTTAAAGAAATAATGCGTCGAAAAAACTCCCACTTATTCTACACCTCTCAAGCCCCCATTTCACAGAGCGAAGGCAAAAGCCTTGGAACGAGAAAAATCCAAAACGAAAAATCCAAACAAAAAATCCGAACAAAAAAAAAATCACATCATGCGAGAGCATCTCAGCATGCAAGAAAATAGCACATCAAGCGAACTACCGGTTCCTCCTCGCGCGTACTACCGGTAGCCCGCATCATCATCATAGCCGCACGACCTCCGTCAATCGAAAAATTACCCTTCGATCTGCACCTGGACATGAAATGCTACTGTGATGATCGATGGCCTTCCTTCCTCCTAATTCATCTAACTTCTTTCTTTCTTTTTACCCCCCCCCGCTTACTCCCCCCCCCGCCCCCCCAAACCACCCAAAACAGGGAAGCTATCAATTGCCGCATTAATCTCCCGCAGGTAATTAGTTATAATTCAATGAAACTGGTCATTTAAGTCGCCAGCACACTAGATGATGACGTCCCAAGAAATCGATCGATACTCCCATTAATGGATGCCTCGTTCCTTTTCTCTGTTTCAACTAAGGCCATACTTGCAGTTATAGTTTTCTGGATGCACCTGGTCACGTTTAGAGTCACTTTCAGTCCAAAGAAAAATAAAAAAAATCCAGTAAGAGTATATTCCCAATTCGGTCACTTCAATCCAACCTCCAAGTCCAGAAGGACAACCCAGATCCTACCGTCTTTAGCCGAATAGAACGCCCGGTCATTATAAAGCCGTATTTGGTGCAACTTTCAGTCCAGATACGGCAATAATGACCGGGCGTTCTATTCTGGTGAAGACGGTTGCAAGGGACTACCCACCCCTCCCCTCATTCTCCACCGTACAGAGAATGAACGATTTTTATTTTTTTTCCCAACTGTTTCCTACAGAAATTGATGAACTAGTGCTGCTACAGACAATGAATCGTTTCTTTTCTTTTTGATTTTTCTTCTGAAAAAAGAAATCATTTATTCTGCTTGAATTTTTTTTCTTTTTGGATTTCTTTTCTTTTTGAATTTCTTATCTTTCTGAATCAATTCATTTCAATTTTTTTGGAGTTTTTTCACCGCGAAAAAACAAAAAACAAATTTATTTCACTAATTCCTACAGTCCAAGAGTGCATCCGCTTCCTACAGACAGTAAATGGGTTCCTGCTTCCTCCTTTTTTTCCCCTTAGAATGAGTTACTGCTTCCTCCTTCGTTTTTTTTTTTTTTTTTTTTTTTTTTTAAGAATGAGTTACTGCTTCCTAATAACTATACAGACAATAAACGATTTTTTTTTTTCCGACGGCTTTCCTAGAGACAATAACTGAATTTTTACTCAAAAGAATTACTCAAATGATTTAATGAATGAATTACTGCTTATTTATTTCCTACGTACAAAACAAATGCTTCTGTTCCACTGCTTCCCTCCGTACCAAAACATTACTTAATCAATTTTTTTACTATTTTTTTTTTTACTATTTTTTTTAACTGCTTCCTACAGTCAAAGACTGCATCTGCTTCCTACCGGTAGTAGTTCCTACAGAATGAATGTTTTTTTTTCCTTCTTTTCCACTGCTTTCCTACAGACAATAAACGAATTACTTAATGAATTACTGCTTCTTCTCTTTCTTTAAAAAGGGTGACGACCTTGAGATATCATCATCGAACGGAGCGACTCTAGGTACTTTAGAATTCTAGTGTTTTTCTCATCTGCTTCCAGTGGAGTTCCAACTCTGTTCTGTATTTCAACAGTTCAGGGGTGTATCCTAACTGAGCTAGCTAATTCAGAACTCTAGTGTCTGTACCTACTGCTTCCTAGTTCCTCTACAGACAATGAATGATTCTGTTCTATTACCCAAAAAAAGGTAAAAAATGATTCCGTTCTGTTACCAAAAAAAAAAAAAAAAAAAAAAGATTCTGTTCTGTTCCCCCCCCCCCCCCCCCCAAAAAAAAAAAAAGATGGTTCTGTGTTGCCTGATCGTGCTCTGTTCTGTGTTCATAGTTGAATGGCCTGAGTCGCTGCAGTCATCTGCAGCGCAGAAATCATATGACTTCATCATCACCACTTCATTTGAATGATGTACCCAACCCCAACAACAAAAAGCATCTACCAAATTTACGAGATGTACTTCTCCCCCCCCCCCCTTCAAAAAAATAAAGAGTTAAATCGTAGCTTCCGTCTTCACCCGAATAGAACGCCCGGTCATTATATCTGTATTTGGAGCAATTTCCATTCCAGATACGGCGATAATTACCGGGCGTTCTATTCGGGTGAAGACGGTAGTGATAAATAAATTAAAATTTTAAAACAGGAAGCATAGTCATGAATAATGTGCATAAAAGAACTAGAATCGATGCATTGTTAATTAAAAAAAGAACTAAATGCTTACTGAAGCGAAGGAAGCTGCTAAAGGGAAGGAAGTTACTGAAGGGAAGGAAGTACTGAATGCAGTACTACAGTAATCTCCTTCCCTTCAGGTCATTACTGGATTTACTGATCTATTGCCACTGAAGGGAAGAAATTACTGCTTCTTCCTAGTTCACACAGACAATGACCGATGTTCTTCTTTTTCGTTTTTTCACTGCATCCTTCCCACAATGAATCACTTACTGACTCAACTACGGAATCAATTACTGACTCAATTACTGAATCAGTCACTGAATTACTAATTAGTAATTACTGAATAACTAATTACTACATCACTTACTGAATCGATCACTGACTCAATTACCGAGTAAAATACTGAATTGATTACTGAAACAAATACTGCATCAGTTACTGCATCAGTTACTGCATCAGTTACTGAATCCTGAGCGTACTGCATCAGTTACTAAAGGAAGGAATTACTGCCGCCAAAGGGAATAGTAACTGCTGTTTCCGTAATTGAGTCAGTAATTGATTACGCATTGTTACTGAATTAATATTACTGAATTACTAATTACTGAATTACGCATTACTGAATTAATAATATTACTGAATTACTAATTACTGATTCGATCAGTGGCAGTAGATACGGACTCAGTAATTCAGCCTCTGAAGTAGATACTGCTTCCAAACGCCATCGCAGAAATCAACGACTTACTTGTACTTTTACTATCTCTAGAGACGACAAATTACTGCACTTCGTTCGGCTCGGCGCGCAGGCGATGCTCACTTGGCTGCTGACACGCAAGCAAACGTGAGTCACGACCCCTCCAGCACAAAAAGCACGCCAGTCTTTAAAAAAAAACAAAAAAAAAAACAAAAAAAAACAAGGACGGCAGAAAACGACGCGCAGCAACGGCGACATAAGGTGGCATCGTAGTTCTTTAGCGGCGTTAAGGTAGTAATTCCTTCCAATGACAGTAACTGGAAAGGATGTCGCCGGGTGACGCCGGATCCACAAAGAGGATGACAGAAAAGACAGACAAAAGACAGACAAAAGACAGACAAAAGACAGAAAAACACTCGTAGAAAGGAAGAAGCGGCGAAAAGACACGGGGGAGGAGAGGAGTTGTGGAAAACAGGCGAAGGCAGTGCGGAGGAGAGCGGACGAAGACCAACGGGGTTGGGAGTGACAGCGCCGAAGAGAGGTGCACAGACAACGTGTTCAGAGAACAGTATCGGAAAGGGACTCTTGCAATAAGAAAAAGGAAGAGCTGGAAAAGAGAGAGAGAGAGAGAGAGAGAGAGAGAGAGAGAGAGAGAGAGAGAGAGAGAGAGAGAGAGAGAGAGAGAGAGAGAGGAAAGTGGGGAAGAGAAATTGGAGACACGTATTGAGTGACGGACAAAGCTGCGATGCTAGAGAAAGAAGGTAGGCCATGACGTACGGGTGCAAAACTGGTGAGAGATAGGACGTGGACACAGAGAGAGCAGGAGAGAGAGACAGAGAGAGAGAAAGAGAGAGAGAGAGAGACAGAGAGAGAGAGAGAGACACATACAGACAGACAGACAGCGAGAGAGACAGACAGAGAGAGAGAGAGACACAGAGAGAGAGAGAGGGAGGGAGGGAGAGGGAGTAGTAGACATAGACAGACAGGAGACAGACAGAGATAACGACGGGAAGAGAGAAAAAGTGAGGGAAAGAGAAAAAGAGAGGGAAAGAGAGAGAAAGAGAGAGAAAGAGAGGGAGAAAGAGAGAGAAAGAGAGAGGGAAAGAGCGAAAGAAAGAGAGAGAGAGAGAGAGAGACAGAGAGAGAGAAAGAGAGAGAGGGAGAGGGAGAGAGGGAGAGAGGGAGAGAGGGAGAGAGGGAGAGAGGGAGAGAAAGAGGGAAAGAGAGGGAACGAGAAAGGGAACGAGAGGAAAAGAGAGAAGGAACGAGAGAGGAGGAGAGAGGGAGGGAGAGAGAGAGGGGGGCGGGAAGGGTACTCACAGCTTCGGCAAGGTCGGGCGTGATTTCATCGTTCTCGACAGCCATCGCATTGTCATTTTTAAGTTGGGTAATCTCCTTCTCCAGGCTGGTTGCCTCCTCACCTAATGCATCCGCCTCTGCCTTCAGCCTCGCGCTATACGCTGCGGCGGCATCATGTAGGGCTTTGCTTCTTTCCATCACCTTTTTGGAGGCCCCAACCAATTTCCTAGCTACCTCTGAACGCCTCTTATGAGTGAAGGCATCATCAAGGCTGTTCATCTCGTCGAAGGTTTCCTCGCGAACCGGGGGTAACGGCCTGCCAACAATGGTGGTAGACATGGTCGCTAGTCTTTCCGCTTCCCCCCTCGAACCACCACCTCCCCCACCTCCCCCTCCTCCTCCTCCTAATCCGCCCGCTAAGTCATTTAGAAGAGAGATCCGCCGTGCAATCCTCCGCTGCCTCGAGTGGTAACGTCCCCCGCCGCGGCTCGACAGCTCTCTCCTTTTCTTCTCTACCACTCCCAGCACACCTCCCCCCCCTCCCCTCCCTCCTCCTCCTCCTCCTCCTCCTCCTCCTCCCTCTCTCCCGCCGCGTGCACTCGAGCTTTCTCCCGCTACCACGGTAGCGACCCCCACGTCAACTGGCAACCTACCGGTCGGCGGACCCGCAGCCGGTCGTGCGATCGCTGTCAATTGCACCGACCTCCAGGAACAGCACTCACCAGGCCGAGAAAGAGTCTCAAGGCCCCCTTCTACCATAGCCGCAGGTGGCCGTTACTCTTCCCCACCCACCCACCCAACCCCCGGTCCCCAGCTCCCCCACCCTTCGCCCCACACCTTCACACACACACGCACTCCACTTCCCCCCCGCCCACTCTTCTCTCCTCCTATTGCGGTCGCGCTGCCAACCGACATCAACCTGGCGCCCGATCCTCTCCTCATGCAAGGCAAGGAGGACTCACGCTACCATTGTGTTTGAGACTGCTACTGGACAGAACGATCGGGATCGCGCACGTGGCGTGCGATCACAGGGGAGAAAGGCGTGAAGTGACGTGCCACGCAATTACCCGCCGAAGAGAGAGGAGAACGGCAGGAAAGGTAGGGTCCAGCCTAAGGGCGGCGAAAAAAAAAAAGAAAACACGCCTCTCCCGCAATTTTTTTCCCATAAACTAAAAATATAACGCCATTAAACACATTACTAGTTAGCAAAACCACTAAAAACCATTCAAAAATCAACAATGTGAACACATCGACACCTTTTTGGCGGGCGCTTTTTTTTTCGTTTTTTTTCCGTTCGAGTTCACCGGAGATTCACGGGGAGCGCGGTCGCCCACCTCCCACAGAGGAGTGGGGGCCAGGGAGCAAGGAGAGGGGAGCGGGGAGAGGGGAGCGGGAAACCAGCGGGCTGTGCCCCCCGTCTATGCAGAGAGCGGTGAGAGCGGCAAGCGAGCGCAACGGACGCGGAAAGGCGAAAAGAATCCGCAACGAGATCGCACCGCGACCCCAACTCCGCCAACCCACGGCCTAACGACCTCCGCCAGACCTCCACGCCCTCTCCCCTCTCCTCTTCCTCTGGCGATGATCTATCGTACGAGTCGGTACGGCGCGAAATTGGATAATGTTCCGTTTGCCTGAGGGCATACTCACACCAGGACTTTTTCTACTGATATCTGGGGCTAGATCCCACTTGCACGAATTAAGAGCTACTGACCGTAGATAGCAAAGATCAACGGCCGAAATCTCCTAATTTGCGCAAGTGGGACCTTGCCCCTGTGGTCTCGGCCCAAATCCAGCCGTGTAGTATAGTTTTCTTCTACCTGTGCGACTGTGGGATCACTGCGAACCGTTGATCATCTGACAAACGACCGGTAGGATTACACAACCCGCCCTTTTGGAAGGGGAGCCAGCCAGCAGCCTACTGTTTTGTGATTGGTTGGGGTGTCATGTTGGGGATGGCAGGAGAGGCAGGGGAGCCGTAGTTTTCTAGGAGGTTTTTTTCAGATAGTAAACTACACGGGGATTTTCCTCTTCAGTGAATGCAGGGTTTGGTTTGTCAGAGACATGTCTAGGCCCCCAAGGATCTAGTCTGTCCAATAGGAGGAATAGGATGTGGCACACCCATGAACTGTTGAAAGGAAGACGTGAGTTCGATTCCTAATGGCACTAGATGAGACATGTCTAGGGCCCCAAGGATCTAGTCTGTCCAATAGGAGGAATAGGATGTGGCAGACCCATGAACTGTTGAAAGAAGACCTGAGTTCGATTCCTAATCGCACTAGACGAATGAAATCAAATGAGAAGATTATTCAACCTTCTTTTCCCGCCTTTTGGCATCACACAGTTGTAGAAAACTGAACTACACGGCGCATGTGGGCCGAGACCCCTGGACATTTTTGCAGCCAGATTCGTCCAGGAAAGCACACTCTTCTTTGAGGAGTGGAGTCAGGGGCCCGGGCCCCACTTGAGGACGCTGTGACGAACTATTTTCTGTGATCGCCCGACATTCAGCGCGAAGCTGCTTGGGGAAATACGACGGGTCGGATGGGTGAACTGTGGGAAGATGGGTCGGGCGGGCAAATTGCATGAATGTCCTCGTTTCTTTTCGTTTTCTGCTGGAATTTGTCGGGTTGATGTCGGGAAAATCCCGTGCCAACGGTTGGGTAGTTGCACCTTGGCAAGCGCGAGAAATAACTGTACCATAGCTTCTTTCTTGTTCTGCTGTGAGCGCGGAATTGTTTTTCTTTTCTACTTTTCTCGGAATTTCTTTTTGCAATTAGGACTTAGGCTAGGAATTTAGGTACTCTAAATTTTGTTGCGCCGCGCTTGCGAGCATCTTGCTGCACTGGGAACTGGGCTCTATCCTTTTCGGCGGGTGCGACTGTAACTTTATCTTTCTTCTTTCTTGGTTTCCTAGTGTTTGCCCGCCTTCTTCTTCTTCCTCGCCTCGCATGCTCTGTTCTAATTGGCCGGAGCGCCTGCATGACCGGATCGATGCGTGGAGTGTGGCTACGACCCCCACGCCGCGGCCTGGCCATGCAGACGTAGGCACTTCCTCATTTCTCCTCTTGTCCACCTGGGCTTAATCCCATACCTTTCGCGCAGGCATGCATGCTATAAATTTTGCAGGCGCAATTAGTTTGCTCTTTAAGAATTTTGAGGTTAGCGTTGTCGGTGCGAATACCCCGACAAGGGTATCCGCCCTAGTTTTTGCAAGTGACAGGAAGTAAGGGTAAGAGTCTAAGTATGTCGCGCGAGTCACGGCTAAGTCAGTGGGGTACACTAGTAGGATGGTTGACTGGAGTAGAGCGTGAGTGGGCGCTCAATCTTAAGGCGCGCGTGTGACTCCTCTGTTTGATTAAGCGGTCAGCTTAGTTGGCCGGCCTGAATTGTTGTTATTAGGAATGAAAGGTTTGTTCTTATTAGGGACAGTTGACCGTTGGTAGCCCGACGTATGGAGTGGGGTGCGAGGGGACCACGACACAAAGAGGGCAAGCCAGGGCGGATGCCTAGCGACAGTATGGGCTGGGCTAATTCCTAGGCCCGGGGGCTGTGCAGCATATAGGACTCCGCACAAGCTAGTACCAAGCTTGGGCTTAGCCCTATAGGTTACGGTACCGGACTTGCACGGCAGAAATACGGGGATCGAGGCCAGCGAACGGCGGCATAGCAGCATGGAGGATAGAAGGGTTAAGGGGTTGAGGGTCCCACGAGACTATCCCCGGTAGTTTTGCTAGGGGAGTCCGAATGCGGGCCAGTCTGTTGCAAACTCTTTATTTTGACTATGATTCTCTCCTTTTTTAATTTTTTTAATTTTTTTTTAATTTTTAATTTTTAATTTTATTGTTTTTTTCCTCTCTGTTTGGGCCGGTACCGGCTCAGAGCATGAGCCGAGGGTCCATGAGAGTGGCATAGGTGGGGGGGGGCGTACACGTGCGAGCAGTTGGGGCACAGACCGCGGGTTGTCACCAAATAGGTCGGCATAGGAGCCGCCTGGGCTTGGCGGTACCGCGGGGCATTGCCCTGGCCTGAGTCCTTCGGGACATCTGTTAGAAATTAGAACGGTACAGCGAAGGGTCGAACGACTCCTGCGCAGGGCGGACACGCATAAAACAGGGAGGGCGCGGGAGGCACAGTTGTTGCTACTCGTTGGTCATCGAAAGCGGTGGGATTGGGCGTTGTGTGGGGATGCGCTAATCGGGATGCCGCTGACGTCAATAAATGAGCGAGCGAGAACGGCGATGGTGCAGAGGGGGAGAGAGCATGGCCGGAAGGAAGCAGCACGGCCTGCTCATTCAGGGATGGAATCGAGCTAGGAGGAGTACGACACCGGGGCTTTCGGCCAAGACGAGCACAACGGTGGGATTGGTTTCGAGAAGGAGTTAGTAGAATCGTTGAGGCAGGCGAAAGGGGTTGCGCAGTGATTACCGGAAGACAGAAGGCAGGGAGAGAACCTGCCCGTATATTAGTAGTAGATTCGTTCGATTTCACTTACTAAAACAGGCTGGGGAAGAATCGTCGGGCGGTCGGGCGTAGTCTCCGAGTAAAAGAGTGAAGGAGGTACACAGGACGGGGGTTGCGTGGTTCATATATGACTTTGTATAAATCTAGAAAGTCTTCCGTTCTAGAGGAAGTGTTGCCCAAATTTTTACTAAATCAGGGAGTTCGACAAATTCTGACTTTCTAAAATCCAAAAGTTTGATTTTTGGGTCAGTATAAATTCTGCGATGGCACTTTTCCTACGGGAAGCGTTGCCGAAATTTTTCGAGTTTAGAGGAGTTAGATTATATTTGACAGGTGGCAATTCTAGGAGATCCACTCCGTGTAAGGGAGATTATGCCAGGGTCTACCTTTGCTTTGGCACCTGCTTAGAGGTAGGTTTAGGCCTAGTTAATTGGGGTGATTTTTGTGAGGTCGTGATATGGAGATTATTATCCATGAACTTATAGACTTAGCTTAGGGATTGGCGTGTCTTGTATTACAGGTCTTCTTGAGTGAGTCAATTCAGGATTTTGGACTAGACTCAGCTTTGATCCCACGAGGATCACCTTCTGTTATCACTGATAACAGGTCGGTTGCCGATTCATTGGTTTACGACTCAATTCTAATTTACCCTCAATACTCAACCTAAAAAGGCTTTAGCCCTGGTGATTTTTATTGTTTTGTCAAGGTTTCACCCAGACTTTTATTGAAAGGCCATTTAACAAAGGTACTGAGTATTTAATTATGGTTGGTTGAACAGGAGGCTGGGGCTTGCATGGCTAAAGCGAGGGGTATGAGTATGGAGAGTGGTTGGAGTTGACTCCGTGTAGTGTGTGGACCTTGTTTGATTCTTTGATGTGATTGCAGGTACGTTCTGTGGTTCGGATTTTGGATTTGACTGCCTGCGATCACACATATACATATGGTTGTGAGGAGCCCCACTGTAATTGTGAGAAGTGATCGTCACATACTTATTCCCCCTTGTATATATATATATATATACATATATATATATATATACATATATATATATATATATATATACATATATGTCTGGAGTGTATTTTTTGGCTGTGACAGACCTTTCTTTGTTTCGTGGATGTTTTGCTGGCTTGTGATGGGGTGTGAACCGACAGTCTGTAGAGTT